GTGACCTGTCAAAGGCCATGTGATACAAGCACGCTGCCAGCAATGAAACGCTGGCGAGCCTCCGTCTTTCCTGAAGTGATGGGACCACGGCTGATGGGTCTGCTCCTGTATGCAGTTCATCAACACCTAGAGAAGCATCCCCCAGAGCAGACTGTCTCACTGCCACGCACTTTTATACCTCTATGCACATGTAGCTGAGAAAGGAAGGGCAAAAAAGCAGTCTTGCCAGGGACAACTGTAAGGACATTTGGACTGTGTCCATACATGGTCAGACGTGAGATGTGGATTTCATATCCCTGCATCTATTCTTGCGTATCAGCCAACGTACATGCACACATGGCTAATTCTGTGCTTAAGGATTAGATGCCTCTGTCTGGGTATACCTCTGGGTTTTCACATCTGCCCCTGTGTGTGACTGACTGGATGAAAAGCACATCCATATGCTATCAGCTTGCACACAGAGAGAGAAATGCACACTAATACTCCTCTCTGAGATCAAGGTAAAAAGCAATGGATCTAGTATGATACAAATCAGAAGAAACACATCAGCTTCAGATGGATCATGCTGAATTATCCCAGTGAAGAATCTGAATGAACAGGCCTGATGTACCAACAACTAGCGGGCATTCAGATGCCAGGCTGATGGACATTGTCGGGAAAGGAGTAGAGTAGTGCAATACAAAGAGCAGAACAAAGCCAAACAGGCACCTTTTCTACTTTATGCAGATCTGAGGGAGATGCTGACAAGTAATTAATTGCCTCCAGCCTACTTCCTGGGGTACTTTTCTTGGTCTGAAACTGATCCTTTATTTTGTTTTTTTCTTTTGATAGTGGGAGAAAAAAGTTATTTGACAGTGCGACAGTTGTATTTTTCTTGGTGAGAAGGAACAGTGTGCTGTGACATTTTACAAGAAAGCACGCCTAAATGGGCTGAACAAATAAGGAATTTGCACAATGCAATTGCAGGCAGTAATTAATTTTCACAGTGCAAAGCAGTTCTCTAGGAAAGATTCGCAGAGGTAGTGATGGGCAGTTCTATGAACTGAGATTTATCACAGTGGTTTGTTGCAAACAGAATCAGATTAAGACAGATGAGTTATCAGGACAGCACAAGAGTAATCTTGCACCCATGGTATTTGCTGTTACTTGAACTTCACCTTCTTTTCTTTTCCCATGGCGAACAGCAGAATCTAGTATGTTTCTGCCCTTCAAAGCACTAGCACACTTAAGCACCATTTTCATGGCTCATATTGAAAACTTTGAAGAAATCAGTAGATTTCTTCAAAGTTTCATTTTATTAAAACAGCCGTGAATTTAACAGGAAATGTTGGTACTTCTTTTTCTCTGCTATAAAGAACTTTATCACTCTAAGGGAATATTCAGCATGAATAGTCAGCACTTGATCAGAAGGTCAGAACCTCAAAATAGTGCAAGTTCAGTACCACTGTTAGCAGCCAGACTCTCAAAAGAGCTCAGCAGTGTGTATGGTTTAATAAAACCCCCCTCCCTTTTTTTGGTAATCTAACCCTTTTCCACATCTCTGCTATGCTGACAAATATGGAGCGAGTGGAAGGCAAGTAAAATGATCCATGGGATTTATTCTTCCTCCTGGACCAGCTAAGCCCTACCTGCCATACAGCTAAGCTGTGTTACTAGACATGCTCCTTGCTGCCCTGCAAGAAGCCCTGCCCATCCCTTCAGCACTGCCATATCATTTCTTTTGATATGTCTAATCATGTTTCCTTCCTTCCTTCCTTCCTTCCTTCCTTCCTTCCTTCCTTCCTTTCTTCCTTCCTTCCATAAAAATCACCTAACACCCCACTTTTGCACATCAGAGCATGGAATAACAAGTCCAGCCTTCAGGCCTCAGCGTCAGATAGGCGCAGGGGGAGGAACGAGATGGGGTTTTCCTGAGTCTCTTCTCTGCCCAGCCGCTTTCTGCTCTGCCCCCCCCCCCCCCCGTACACCTTATCAGGCAACAGCAGCTGCATCAGGAGCAGCCACTGACCTTGGGCAGCTACAAAGGCCAGGTCCATATGTGCCGATGTCTTCTTGTCTTGCCCAGCTGTTCTCTGATCTCCCCAGGAAGAGATGAGTGCAGCCTGTCTGTGATTCATATATTCCTTCCAGCCGTTTGATTTATTTCAGCATTAGCATTCATATCTGCCCAGTTCCAGAGCAATTCCCCTTTCCCGGAGGACAGACAAGGTGACATCTCATGCTCCTTTTCAGTTCTGTGGCAACCAGCTGTGTTGTTTTGCCCACAGAAATCACTGCCATTTTCAAAGGCCTTCCCTTATGCTTGTGATTGTTCATTCCCGTATTTGCAGTCTCCCCACAGCTCATGTTCCCCTGCCAAACACTACACAGCAGGACAGCAGACACCCTCATCCCTGGTGCACCTTCGCTGGTTCAGGTGGGACCTGCTCCAGGGTTCATTCCCCCTGGTGCCTTTGTTTTATAAAACAGTATCTTCCCCTTCCTCTCCAGCCACTGCTGCCACAGAAATAGTGAAAAGGAGTTCTTAAGATGGGGAAATGAGGGCTTTGGGGTGTTTTGACCAGAGCTGTATCCCAGTTACTCACAGGGAGTCGGGAGCTAGGCGTCACTGGCCAGGCTGTTCGCAGAGTAATGGCATCATCTAGTGGTCAGACAGGTCCCTCGCACGGTGCATTGCGGGCAGCTGGGACCCGTTTTCTCACGCATGAACTGGAATTGCGAAATGAAATGGGAATGCTTTTAAGGTGGGAGTGGAGGGGAGGGAAACCTGCGCAGGAACCTGCTGGAGGGCCCCTAGGAGCCCCTGGGTAGTGAGACACAGATGGGAACTGGCCGTCCCCTGACACTGCTAGGAAACATCTCCTTTCCCCACCTCACTTTTAACAGAGAAACAGCAAAGCGGGCAGTGGGATGAAAAGCCACTTTGTGTATTTAGCTGAGCACCGCCATCTAATTTTCTAACCTCCTCCTTTCGCCCCCCGGGTCAAGTAGGCCATGGATATAAACACCAACTCATTTTTCATGCGAAGCCCAGTTAAAACTTCCTAGACAGCTTCTCTAGTGTTCATATGAGACGCCTATAGAAATGAATCCAAATTAATAGTTCTTCTACAAGAAAAGACTAGAATACAAACTTGGTGAACTCACCTCACTGATTTCCCCTACTTTAAAGCTAAAAAAAAAAAAAGAGGTGCAAAACTTTCCATTTCACTCCAAGAGTGGGCTCTTGCAGCCTTGCCAGGGTGGAGTGCACGTCTGATTGTTATCCGAGTATGAGTCAGTGCCTTTCTTGAGCAATGCAACCTTTCACTCTGCATTTCCAGGGTTTTTAATGTTTGGTTTAAAAATAAAAGCAAAATAAAATAAACTCTTCCAACCCTGATATTTTGGTACAATTGTATTTATTCCAGCTGAATCTTAACTTCATCATAGTGAGGTTCTTCCTGTGGGATTTAGCTAATGTTTGCAAAGCACTTGATTTATGATGAACTGTTGAACATGATGTTTACGGCTGCTATACAGCTAAGGGTCTGCTGTGCTTTCATTGTTATTGTTGTTGTCAGACCATTTCTTACCTCAAAGACCCTTTGACAATTCTCCTTCCCCCATCCCCACGGTCTTGCTTCCCAGCTTTCCCCAGCACAGTTGTAGTACTTGCTTGGGAAGCAGTCGTATCACAACAAGCATCAAGAAGACAAGCAGAGAATAAGTTTGCTTTCCTGCATTGGGTGCTGTTGTTTTGGTGACATTCTATTCATTACACATCTGTGGTGTTTATTTCTCTTCTCAGGGTGCAGTGCTTTGCGTTGATTAATCCCAAATGTTTCCTGGTTTCCTCCAGCCCCTGTTGCTCTCATCTCCTCAGGCTTCGGTACATGTTGTTTCCCTTTTCCTGTGGCCCTTTCCGCTGCAATGTCACCCCCAAATGCTGTGGGACAATGCCAGAGAGACCTCATCCATCAGAGGCATCTCCTCAGGACATGTGAAGAAGAAAGTTTGTGTTTAGTTGATTTAGAAAGCCTCCAGCCACCAGAAGGTTTGGCTTGGCTTCCAAGTTGTGAAGGGAAGGAAGATGGGGAGTGGGGGGAAGTACATGCCATTTCCAAAAAAAAATAAGTGAAGTCCCACACCTAGGAAAGTCAAGCATGGTTCAGCATGGAGGGGAGCGGTGACTAGAGGTGTGGGCAAGGATGTGGAGACACAAAGCAGGTTAGTGTGAGAGGTGAGTTGAAACAGGCATCTGCCACCAGGAAACCTCCTTACTAACTTGTTTTCCTTCCTGCGACAGGTGATGGACAGCTCGATGCCCCTGATTGGGGAGCATGTGGAAGAGGACAGACAGCTGATAGCCGATCTGGTTGTTTCCAAAATGACTCAGCTTGTCATCACTGCTGGATCTACACCATCACCGCTGAGGCCTTGGGTATGAGCAAATAGAGACCTTATGGCCAAGTTGTTTTCCTGAACTTTTTTTCTCTCTCCTCCCTGTGGGTGTCAGGCAGTCAGGCATCTCAGAGAGTTGAACAGTCTCATACGGGAGTGTATTGGAAGAGCAGGAGTCAATCTATCCAAAGAAGTCTCTCATAGACTCTTTGCAGTAGGTGCCCCTGAGAAACACCTCTCTCTCCCTTCCTCTCCTTCCATATAACTGTGGCATCACACCAGTAGTGTGGTTCATGCATCTAGACATTCTGGCTTGCTCAATTCATAGATTCATATTGAAGACAGCCATTTTTAGAGGTGCTTGTAATGCCTGGCTTCATCTCTGTCTAACACCATCCCTCAGGATAGGTTTCATTCCAGTTTTTGCATCCCTGATGAAAATCTGTGCTTCCCAGAACAGGAAGTGGGAATCTCCACCAAGAGTTGTTCCATTCCTTGCTGCAGCCTTTCTTCTTTGGAGATGCCCTTCACCTGCTTTATCAGGAGGAGACTTGACTAACGCTGAATTCATATAAGAACCTGTCATTTTTGCACTTAAACTGACACCTTAGTGCTTCTCATGTACATTCATTTTGAGTATCAAATGCATCTAATCTTAGTGCCACACTTCCCAGTGGCAGTTCCGTATAAACGGAACACATCAGAACATAATCTGTGTCTCCAGGTATACATGCTGCACCTCTTTCAATATCTAGCAGGGAGCCAAGCACAAAGGTTTGAGGACAACAAATCTGTACAAAAGAAAGGACAGGAGAGTAAACAGGCTGAGGGATAATACTGACTGCAATGCACTGGAACAGTTTCCATTTCCACTTGAGACAAAAAATGGGAGAAAGGACTTGATGGCTCTCTGCCTTTGTCACATGACAGCCCACTCCTGCCAAACCAGGTCCCCAGCATGAAGGGTATTCAGGGTAACTCCAAACCAAGTTTTAGCTAGAGTGAGGGGACAAACATTTAATAAACACTAAAAATGCTTTGAGACAGGGAAAGCGATACAGAAGGGATAGGATTTACTCTGGCCAAAGTGAAATCAACAACTGCCATCTGAAATAACCAAGATATAGAGTGTATAAACTAAGAGCAAAGGGGAAGCCAACAGAAACTGAGAACAGGGACAGATGCATCTGTTGTCTATGTAATATACTGGTACAGGATTGGATTGGATTACAACAGACCTAAAATAGGGCCAAAAATAAGAACAAAATAAATTGTCTTGGAGTGATAGGGTGTCAAATAGAAGAGTTAAATAAGAAAAGAGTCTTCATCAAGAATACAACCTACAAATATCTGAATACAAAATCAAGAAAATTAAAACCGCAAACATGTTAACTAGAGTGTTTTGCTATAGAGAAAGATCTTGGTACAACAAACATTGCAGAAACCACACAAGCTATAGTTACCAACATAATGCTGTTGGTAACTACGTAATGTTACAAATGTGCAGAGATAAGTAATTACATGCGAGGCTGGTGAGATGCAGAACTAGAGCTACAGGTGAAGACTTCACAGAACAAAGAAAAATAACAATTCTGAATAGAAGGACAGCAGTACTGAATACATAGAAATATGAATCCTTGGATATCCTATGGGTATGCACAGAATATCTATACATATTATTGGAGCTGTCTATACTAGTCTCTGGATCAAGAAAAACTGAGAAATTATGAAACCGAGCGCACAGCATTGACAGAGGTGGAAGAAGCAACAAGTCATAATAATGTGAGACTACAGCTATCAAGAAGCAAGTCAAATAGCGCAGTGGGACAGCAATTCAGAGGGAGTTCCCCATCTCTGTAGATGTCTGCTTCCTGGAACTGCAAAATCCAAGTGCAATAGGAAAAAACACCTTGACCTAGCCTTAAGAAACACCCCGGTACAAATTCAGAAGTGAAAATACACTATTAGGTTTGATGTCCAAGGGACAGATGTGATATCAAAAAGTAACGGTATGACACAAACAGTTAGAAAATATTATTTTAATAAAATGAGAAAATTAATCAACTCCCTAGCATTAAAAGTAAAAGCTGTATGGACATTATATGAGAGACCATTGTTTTCCAGAATGCATATATACATTTCTGATCTGCTCCTGGACCAGGAATGCAAGAAATAAACTTCTAGAGTTAAGTGGTAAAGTGATAGAGGACATTCAAGACATACAGAAAAAAAAAAAATCTTCCAAATTTGGAAATCTGACATTTAAGAAGACCTTTATGCACCACCATGCAAGTAATAAAAGGAAACGTAAAAAGGATAAAAATTTATTTTGAAGAACAGAATGAGGGAAGAAGGAAACAAATTCTCTGAGTTCATAAAAAGATGGAACCCTACCAAACAATTGGTGGGCTCTATGGATCATCCAAAGTTAAGGGAGAAAAGGAAGACAACAGGGACAGTGTTGTGACTCTAGTACATTTAATTGCTGAAAGTGGGGAACTTTTTAAACTAGATATAGTTTTTCCTGATAAGAAAGACAGGAGTGAGAGCAAAAACTGTGACTAAATCAGTGATGACTGATATTTTAAAAAATTATTAAGCCCCCAGACCCAGGTGGCTACATCCAATGAACTGAATTTAGGAAGCGACTAAGCTGCCAAGAAAAAAATGTGCAATTTCATTAGAAACAGTTTTCGCTCCAGAGGACTGGTGTACAACAAATACAAAATATGTGTTTAAAAAGTTGTAAGAGTCATAGACCTTACGAATTATCTCAGACAATGATTTAAAGAATAATACAGAAGACTAATAAACCAACAGAACCATGGCTTAAGATAATCTACCACATTTTTTTTGCAAAGAAAAATGTCCCATTAATTTCCTTTTGATTCTTTTCCCATCATTTCTTTGAGAATTCTTTCATAAAGTGGTAGATAACAGGCAATCAGTCAAAATAACGTATCCAGACTGTCAAAAAGCCTTAGGCAAGGTAACAGACAAGTACTATTAAAGAAAGCGATCAGGGAGAGGCTAAAAGGCAAAGTTTCATTGTGGAGCAGAAGCTAGCCTCAGATAAAGACATAGATATGAGAGATTTTAATTCTTGCAAACAGTTAGCAGAGGGGATACGTAAAGAATGCTAGGCTTGGTCATGTTGATAATTGGGTTAGCTGAGCCCAGGACAGGATAAGATGTTAATGACAACCTTTTTTTCATGGCTACAACATGAAACCTGGTTTCATGGTTACAGCTGCGGTTCTCTCCTCACCTCTCTGCCCCACCTCCATCCCTTCTTGTCATTGTTTCCCTTCCAAAGGTAGAAGATCTTAGGCTGGCCCTCACCCCTTCATCTCTGAGCCTCAAAATCCTGTTTTGCCTTCATCTCTTGGGTTGGCTGTAGGCAAAGGCTGTAGAGGTGAATATGAGATCTGATTCCCTTTCTTTGGCTGTTCTAATCAGAATGTCTCACAGCATTAGGACAGTAGATTTCCACCAACACCAAGGGAAGGTTTAGTGTCCCAACCTATGTAGGACTAGAAGCCGTGAATGGAAAATTCCCAGGTTTTCCTCCCCATCCACTTGGCAAGTCCCAGAAAAACAGTGTAAAAGATGGGCTGGCAACATCATCACATTTCTGTTAGTCAGTTGAAACTCATTTCAATGCTTTCAACTATGAAACATTTCTTCCCATTTCCAGAATCACTTAGCTCATTCTCCTGACCTTCCAGGGATCTTGAAGACCCTTTTATCAGTGTGTTCTCCATGTAAATAATCCAGCACGTACCAGCCTATCTGTCTCCAGCTTCCCCTGCTTTCATAAACAATTTTGTGCAATAGGCTTACTCAGACTTTTGTTAACCTTGGACCAGCCCTTTGTGCAACCGTTCTGTGTTGCTTAATATGTTTATTAAAATATCTGTCCAAAAGAGTGAACAGTAAGAGAGAAGAAAGTGCAGATGGCACCAACTTATTTGCATTAGTCAGGACCTCAGGACCAGGGATGGCAATGAAGAACATCTGACAGAGCTATGTATGTTAAGTCACCACAACAGCAAATGAAATGCCGTACGGAAGATTGAAGGGTAGGCTAAGCTGGGGGTAGAGAGAGGGAGAACATAAACAATCTGTAGACCTTGCAAGTGGCACTAGCCATGCCCCTTGAGAAAGACATTGTCGCGTACAGGCTAATGAAAACCATCGCTCAGCCTATGGTTGTGTTGACAAGGGAGAAGCAGGAAATTAGGATGCAGGAGAAATGAGCTGGTGATGTATACAGAAAACTTAGATACTGCTGCATCTGGAATAATGTAAGCAGACCTGCCTCTGGCATCTGCAGAAGAAATCACAAAGCTGGGAAAGAGAAGTGGGTGATGAAAACAATTACGGGCCTGGAAACATTCCCATGGAGGGACCAAAGGGATTCACTTTCTTGGCTTTAGAAAGGAGGTGGCTGAAAGAGAGGGCAGTAAAGGTTTGCAAAATAATGAATGGCCTAGCAAGGGCAGGTTGTGAGAACTATTCTCAAAACTCACAACAAAGCAATGGAGTTAAGAAATGGGAAAAGCAGTGAGGCTGAGAGCTGAGCAAGACTCAAAGGGTCTGGGTGTAAATACCAAAACAAAATATCTGGAACTGTTGCAAAGATTTTGTGGAGCAGATAGTAAGCTTCATGTTTCAGGGTTTAAGCTGGCCCTTGCTTATTAGCAATCAAGAGAAGACCCCTTAGGGTAAAGAAATGATTACTCCATAGATGTTTCCATGGTTCATCCCTCCTTCCTTTGGAACATCTGGTGCTGGCAACTGTTGAAAATGGGAGATGGGACTAAGAGACCCCCTCGGGCCTGATACATTTGGTAATTCCTGATTGCCTAAAAAATATTCTAAATTGTAACTTCATTGTTATTCCCTGTGAGCAAACAACTTCTGTGCTCTTTATTACTAATCTCTCCATTTTAGTCCCATGAGATTTTACCAGCCAGATGCTCTGTGTGTGTGTGTGTATTTAAGGAACACTTCATGACTCTGCAGTTCCTATATTACCTCAGGGCTTCTCTTTGGGGAATCTGTATTAACTGGAATGGCTTTTTTTCCTCTAGCCTCCACAAGTTCAGCCTGCGTCAATGAAATCTCAGACTGGACCTCAGCTTGGACAACTGTCCCAACCACGGCCTCCTCCCCAAGGTACAGTTCTTTGGGGCCCATGACAGTGTGGACTGAGACATATCAGTTTTCCTTCTAAATAAAAGCTACCAGGATAAAGGTTTCACTCATTGTTCCAATTCACTGACAAGCAGGCAGCAAATTCAGTGTGCTGTTAAAGCAGCTGCTATTATATTCCACAGCAGCTCAGAAAGTGGGGTGAAACTTTGATACAGATCCAGTTGACACTGCTGGTATGACTTGGCTCAGCAAAGTGAGGCCACTTGAACTGGTACTGGAGCAGGATTCTGGGCACAGAGGGTATTTGTGTTTGCACAAAGCCGTAGTGGCTACAAGTGTTAAGAAGTGATGGGAAGATGCTGGTGCTGTCAGTCTTGGAACAGACACCAACATGGTGGTGCCAGGATCCTTGATCCATCTGTCCAGGTGTTACCCTGTCAGCAAGAGCACACCCCCAGCTCCTCCTGACAGCAGAAGCAGGTTTGACTTATGTGGTTGGTCAGAACAACAGATTTGGTTTATTGTCCTGATTTACTCTGAGGTGATAAAGCACAGGGCTGCCCTGTGGGTACCCAGACCACACCAGCCACTCAATTCACGTAACCAACTAGACCCTCCTTTTTGCCACCTTTGTCCTTTCATTTCTCCACCCCAATCTCCTACCAAATTAACACCCACCTCTAATTACCTTTTCCTCATCGGTCACAGTTTTGCTGTATCCAAAATTTGGTATTTCTGATACCAAAGGCATCTATGTAATCTTGGCGTTACATGCTATTACTGATATGATGACCTAGGAATTGATGGCCTTGCAGGATACTACTTCCTCATTTGTCTCCAGTACTCCCCCTCAATTCTCTGTGAAGTTTTTTCTCACAAAACTCCCCCTTGACCACCTGTGAAATCCAGCCAGCCCTCACAATGCTATCTGTAACTTTTGTCAGCTTCTCACACTTATCTGTCATGTCCAGCAATTTCTCATGTGACATCCAATTATTTTCCACATCCTCTTCAGCTTTGAGTCTGCTACCAATATGGCTGAAGCCACCCGCTGATAATGCTGGAACAGATATATGGATAGCAATAGGGTGCACAGTCTCACATCAACCTGCTGGGCCCATGAAGGGACTGCTGACCCAAACCAGCAGATTCAGCTTTCATTTCCTGCAGAGAGTTGGTTCTCCAGTGACTCTTCCTTTCCAACACAGAAGTGCTTGCCAAGGATAAGAAATACTAGTTACATGGAAGAGTACAGCACGTTGAAGTGACTCCCTTTGGGGAGAGTGGCAGAGCTTCTTTAGTGCTGAAGGAGGTAGAGAAATGGACCACAACTCTAGAAACGTGGGCATGACACCAGTGTTAGGCCTATAAAAGAGGTTTTCCCTTCTTCTGCATAAAGCCACTCTGAATAGTCTCTCCCCTTAGCAAAACCCATTCTTCCATATAGATGCTCCTTGCTTGTTGTCCACCACATGCACTTCCTCATGTCTATGTCTACATGTCCCTTTCAGGTGGGCCACGCCAGCCTCAGGGATCTCAGCCTCCACGGACAAATGCACCTCCACAGCAGCGGCTCTCTCCACAAGGACAGCAGCCCCAGAGTCCCCAGTCCACTTCACCTCAGCAGCAAAGGTCACCTGGATCTCCACAGCAAGTCCGATCAGCAACGGGGTCCTCTCCAGTCCAGGCTTCCAAGGCAGGCATGTTCCCTCCACAGCAGCCTAGACCTCCTGCTCAAGGCCGGGCTCCTAGCCAGCCAAGCCCCACTGAGACGTCCAAGCAGCAAGCCACCCCACACCCGCATCTGAAGTAGGTGCTCTGTTAAACTGCTAATATCTGTAGATATTAGAATAAGGCTGCCAAAAAAGTACCCTGAGCTGGCACAAAGAACATATCACCTGTTGTCAGGTAGCAGTCTGCAGGGACAAAGAGTGACTTCAGAGGTATATATGCCTGGGCATAACAGGCCACCATTGAACTGTTGTCAGGAAGAACAAGTTGTACTTGACATCTCTAAGATTTCACATTCTTCCTCTCGCTCATGCGCTCATAGTTAATCATGTGCTCTACCCCGGCCATATCAACACAGCTACTACCTTCCCAGCAGGGTGTATACTCCTTACAGGCTATCATCCACACATCATTGCCCAGAAAGCTCAACAAGAGTCACTCTGTCACTATTTGCTGAATGCAGGAGCCACACAAGGTTCTTTACCAGGCAATTTTTTGCAATTGGTAACAAAAAAAGGTGGGGGCTGGAGTGGAAGCGGCACTACTCATATACATATATATAAACTCCGGATGGTGACTGTATAAGCTTTCTTCTGGAGCAGAGCGCACCACTGAATTATTGTGGATCTTTGGTAGCAGCCCTTGCTGCCACCCTTCGTGGACCGTATCTGGCTGGCACCATGGCAGGAAAGATAGGCAAAAAAATGTTTGGTGTTGACAAAAAGTTGACACGAGAGCAAACTGGTATGAACAGACCAGGACAAAATATAGGCTAGGAATGAGAAGACAGTTTCTAGACAGCAGAGGAGTGATGTTCTGGAACAGGCTTTCAGTGACGATATCTACATTAGCAAGGCAAACCAAGACCAGTAGACTTAAGGATCAAAATGTTGGTGCTAAGGATGCACTCTCCATACTATATATATTTCAGGTACTTTAATTCAGAGTCTGGTCTAGTGCTGAATGCCTATTACTGACCAGGAGAAACCACTCAGTGACAAAGCATGGTAAGTGGGGAATATTGGGGGATTTACTTCAAAAGCACAGCTCTGATCTGAACTTAAACACTAGCAGATACACACCCAGCAGGAGCAGTGTGGCCAGTCGAAAGACCTGCATAACAGCTGACAGTCAGAGCAGACATGCCAGGGAGGGCAGGCACCAACACATTGCAGGGGACGTGGCTACTAACTTGCCCAACCCCTCATACTCTCACATTTGAAAGGACAGGACCACCATTCATGGTGCGGCTGATAAGAGACAGGTGACCCTCAGCATGAATCCATTCTTCTGTATTAGTAGTGAAATTACTTAACTCTTCCTCACAACAGTTGCACCAAATGGCAACTGCATGTTTTTAGTCAGATGTTTTCATGAACACTTACTAGTCTGGTCCCCTCATTCCTGGATGTCTTAGCATATGGAGATTCTCCTTGCTTACCTCTCCTTTTATCCTTGAATTTGTCTGCGTGACGGAACACAGCATCAGTAACCAGCTTTGAACAACCACCTTCTCCTGCTGAGTCTGAACTCTGTTTTCCATTTCAGCAAATCGCAGTCCCTGACAAACACCTTCAGCATATCCGAGTCATCTCAGCGGGGAAATGCCAATGAGGACGAAGCAAAAGCTGAGACCATCCGCAACCTGAGGAAATCATTTGCTAGCCTGTTTTCCGATTAACAGCCCTGCAGCTGGATCTGTGCTTTTGTCAGCCCTCACCCTTCGTATCAGCGTACCTGATGTCATCCTGGAATACGCTCAATGGTACCCAGTGATTTACAACTAACACCTGGGTAAAGGAAATTTAGAAAACTATAGTTGTTTTAATACAAAGAAAATATTATAATAACGGTCTGAAAAGTGACTGTATAAAAGTGGCACTATTTAATTGTTTTTTGTGCATAATCAGAATCACACCTCTTCAAATGACTGAGTTGTAAAGCAAATTTTACTCTTGCTAACCCCTGTGGAGACAACACAGTTCTAACAGTGCAAACTAGATTTTATTTTGATTTGTATATAGTCAATACAATCGTAAACTTCCAATTACTGAATCCTTGTTGAGGTCAAGCTAAAAAAAAAATCTTATTTCAGAAACAGATGTGCAAAGACAGAGTTAAGAGTAAGTATTCATTGACTGATAAAGTGAGCATGCTTGAGCATGGAAACACAGTGAACTGTGGAACTTCATGATACCAACTTTATAAAAAGTCACTTTTCAGAGCAAAACTACATTCAAGTTAAATGTACGGTACCAGACATCAGTAAGCGCCAAAGATCACGAGCAGGTCATCCAGATGGACTGCTGGTTTGTTCCAGATCACTCTGCTCACAGCAGATAAAACATCTCTGTTTCATGCCTTGCATTTATGTCCCCCGCACGTGATTCCTGAGTTCTGAGAGAAAAATGTCATGTTCTAACCCTGTAGCCTTAGCTCAAAAATAACCTGAGAAATAGGCCTTCCATGCAAAAAACAACTTCTTCCTCTGCCCCTGGAAACACCAGAGTTCACATTCACAGTTCACACAAATTCCAGACAAAACCCAGCTAAACTCCAAGCACTTTGGTGACTTGGTCACATCTGGCTAAGTATGTCCCCCAGGAACACGCTTAATTAATAGCAGAGCTGATGAAGTGCACATACTTGTGTGCTGAGTGTTCCATAATACTGAATGGACAGAGAGATGGAGTGAAATCCTGCCTCCCTCCTTGAACTCCCATTGACTTCACTGGGGTGAGTGCAAAATGAATGCAAGGTGACAAACCTGCAATAGAACAGGAAAACGATCCTTTACAAATAAGATGAGCTGGGGTCCATCCAGAGACACCAAGCCATGGGAGGGCGTGTATGGGATTGCCCCAAGCAGGTAATGATCAGTATTAGTCTTCCCTGACCACCCCCAAGAATTATTCTTCCAGAGAAGACAGAGATGGATCTTTGCCAGGTGTGCTTTTCCTCTAAGCCTGCAACACAGAATGAAGCTGTGTATGAGCACATATACTGGAACTGGGACGTGGCAAAAAACAGGAGTAAGACAAGCTACGTTCATGAGTGAAAAAAACACCTTGGGTAAATCAACGTATCTATGGCTATTTCTACCAGCTGAGAACCTACCCCTTGCACTGTACGAGTTCTGTTTACAACACACCTAATGCAGGCGCCAGGCCCCATCCCACCTCCTCAACTTTCCTTCAAGTTTTGTCAAGTACTTTAGTCGCAAACCGTGCGTACAGCTTCAAGGCCAGACTTTTGGCTTTGTGCCTCCCTTAGCAGCCTCACCTTGATGACACTTAGGAATGCCCAGGGAGGCAGGGAGGTCAGCAAGTTAAAAACATTTGAGCCAATGGCACAGATCTTTGCTGCCACTTAAACAGGGAGATCCCCAAAGCAGCAAAAGCAACAGCAGCATTTGCCATCTTGGATCTTATGATTCACTGGTGGGAATAAAGCCAAACAAGCAATTCCCTCCTGCATAGCACCTGTAATGAACATCTAAATCCAATGCAGTCATCTGGACCTTGTATGACCTACCCCTGAGCAGGCCTTTACACATATAATGGCTTTTGTGATCTGTGCACCTTCAGGCAAGTAACAGCATAGCTTTTCCAGGTTGGAAGGCTCTTGAGAAACTCATCTGGATCAATGATTTATACCTCAAGTTCAGTATTATAGAACCACCCTATTCCCTGATGATTTATCTTTTTCTCTCCCCCACCCCCCCATCCAGATTTGCTAAGCAGTTTACAATGTAGCATCATAATTACATGTCATTATCTGAGGGGGAAAAAAAAAAACAGACCCTGCTGTTTTGCAGTCTCCAGGAGCAATAAAAGAGTGACAAATGGCCTTGAGCAAGCATTGTCCCACTGGCAAGAACAATAGCAGATTAACAGGCTCCACTATATGGAGAGGAGGTAATACAACCCTGGTGGGAGAGGATTTCCTTCTGTAA